CGGGGCCCTCATCCTCCTCACCATGGACCTCCTCTCCCGCCGCCGCCTCCTCACCATGGTCACCCTCCCTTCCCCTTCCCTGGAGGCCACCCGCCCCCTCCGATGTGCGCCCCTTGCTCCTGCGATCCTCACCATGGAAACCCTCCTCCACCCCCTCCTCATCACGGAGGTAAGCCTCATCACGGTAGGCCTGAGCATGGCCACCATGGTGGTTTCGGTGCTGAAGATCATGAGGGCCACCCCCATCCACCTGTAAGTCTAATAATGCTCCGACCAGAAATTGAACTCGTTCCGCTAACTACTCCTCAGCCTCCTCACCATCCCATCATTGTCATCCTTGGAATCGTGACCATTGCTCTCGCCCTTTTCTGTGCTATTGCCATCGCCTACATTCACCGCCGTGTAGCGCGTCTCAGCCCCGAGGCTCGTCGCGCTTTTCGCCGGGCATTCCGCCAAACTCGCGACGAGCGTCGTAAGAACTCTGCTCTGAAGGCTGCTTATCGTGCCTTTGTCACCCGATGGATCGAGAACGAGGATGATGAGAAGGAGGCTATGCTAAACGGTGAGCGACGCCGACGATCATCTTCCTGCAGTAGCGTTACCATGGAAGAGGAGATTGCCTCCTTCCGTGAGGCTGCTCAAATGGTTGAGGGCATCGTCGCTGCTGAGGAGGGCCAGCATAGCCATGCTCGTTCATATAGCTACGCTGCGGGTCCGCCTGTTCCTCCTCGTCCCTCGCACCACACTGCTGCCACAGCATACCCTGGCTTCATGGAGACGGATGACAACCTTCCTGCCTACGATGACGATGAGCGTGATTCATCGGTTGTAGCAGATGGATGCCGATACACTCCTGGCAGCTCCGATTATACCCCTTCTAACTCCGGGTCCAATGCCAGCGATGTCCTGGGGGACACCAAGAACTAAAGTAGACTCAATGATCTTGGGCTTGAATGATTTTCTTTGCATATTACTATGATACACCAGATTTCCTTCTTTTGAATTTATGCGCATCAGATGTGGGATATTGGGAATTATATTTACAAACAGCAAACGCTCCTGCTCAATAGAAGCTATAGCAATCTAATACCACAACTTGAAAAATGCATGTTTATAATACGCTCTTGTGCTTGATCTATTTCCCTTGTGCTTATCCACCCCTTAGGGAGCAAGAAAACATGAGACTTTAGAAGAGGGTGCCAAAATAAATTCAATGAAGACTCGCCTAAACTTAGAGTAAATTGCCCAAGCCTTTTTATCACTTGGGATGAAGCTCTCAAGTCTTCTGACCCCCCTGCCACGCATGCTCCTTTTGTGTATCACCCGAATATGAACTCTTCGTAATTCTTCGCAATCTTTTTGACGCCTTCATCAAGGTTCCAGCCCTTGACCTCACAAACATGCCGGTACATGTCTTCCAATGCACTGTCCATTTGTTCGCCGGCAATGTGAAGATCACTCTCCACTAGGATGCTGTCGTCAGGCAGGGCCCGTAGTACATCGTCAGTCTTATTCCGGGTAGCATCAGTGCTCAAGTTGACAGCTGTTGACAACGAGACAAATATACGAGCTGGAATCGTTCGGTTCAGATACTGCCTCAATACTTCAACACTAGCGCTGAATGAATGTAGGCATATTCGAGGAGGGTACGGCTTCTCACTACCGTCGTCGTCTTCGTCTGAGAAGTCTTCAGCACCCGATGCCACAAGACGCCGCTTGCGTCGTGTTATAACCTCCCGCTCATGGCCCTTCCATGTTGCCGCAAGCGTCTCATGCAAGATGCCGTGGGCTTGTACGCCATGCACACTAACAGCTCTGCCAGCTTTTGCAGCAAGACGAAGCTGTGCGGCAAGAACATCAATCTGGTGCTCTATTTTCACCCTATAAGGGCTGAGCTGTCGGCCCTCACGGCCCCCTGGTGTGAGTGTTGGATCTCTCTCGATATGGTTCGATGGCAGCCAAGGTTCTGGTAGACGAAAGGCCTTGTCAAGGCCGATCTCGCCAACAAGAGCATGAGGGTTAGTGGATAGACGGGATTCGGTTGCATTGAGGAATGAGCTTATTGCGACAGGGGGAGGGAGAGAAGTAACAAAGTCTGGTGAGGGCGCTGGTTGTAGAACGGCATTATAATGTGTTTGTTTGGCGGCATTGTCAGTCTCGGACCCGGGGGTGGGCTGAAATGTCGGAGTGTCGGCCGAGTCGTCGTACAGTAGATGGGAAAACCATGGATGCCAGCCAAAGGAGGGAATAGCACAGATACTCGTTGCTTCCGAGTTTTCTCGCAAAAGTGATTTGAGATCCGGGTTGCAATGGTGGCTAGTGACATCCATAACGAGGTCCTGGTCCTGGGCACGTGTTGCCATGATGGTCAAAGCTGATGCACGCATAGAGGGTATTTCTGTTATCGAAGCCATTGTATCTGTTGGATGGCAGTGGGCGTCGCATATTGGCAGATGCCAGGGGAATGGAGGTCGATCCCCTGCAATCTCCGGCTTGGACTGCTGAGGCACATCATGGTTATGGGTGTGGGTGTGTTGACACATGTTGTGTTGGTATCTGGTGATGGCAGCCCAGTGTCAAAGTGGTGCCGAGATAGCGGGATTTAATTAGCACTGCAGAAGGAGTTTGTGTTCACAGAAGCACACAAGATTCTTACTCTCAACGGCCAAGGTCTCGAAGGCTTGAGGCTATGAGAGACAAATTTCAGTGATGTCAGCGGGGGAAGCTGATGTGGATCATGATGGGGGCAAGCATTATCGAGGCTCCAAGTGGGGTTAACTTAGGTATGATGAGATCGGTCGATACACTAATACAGTATGAACATACCTATCTAATAAGCATTCAGTTAATCTGTGGTAAACTTAGTTTTCATCAAGCGAATATAAGAGGCTGAGCTTCTATTTTGCGAGTATATTTCGTCTGCCTCGGCTTGTAATCACTCATGTGACGTGTGTGGTTGATGTTGGTTACCGATGAGCTTCAGTGGCTGTAAGTAGCAGCCCGGACAGTTTTTAGTACAACCACCAATTCCAGGGTCCTTTTGTGTTGCGGTCGATCCTCACTGGGCGCAGATACTCGGAAGTTTAATGCAGTCAATCGGTTCATTGATGTATCAGCACTGTGATAGGGATTTGATACTGTAAGTGTAGGTATTGAAAGACTCGTCATGACGTGCAATCATGCCTTATCGTTGCATTCCACCACTGACGTTGCTTTATCTGTACAGTTTGGTAGGTATCATTGACCCTCCTTCTGCCAACATGAAGCTTCCTCCTACCGTTTACTATCACCTGCATCTCTTCCTGGTGCAGGTTCCCCGCACGATCCTTCCCCGTGGCTTGTCGCGTTGCCGTACGACAGTCACCTCAGACACCATTAAAATGGGCAAGTGCGGTATGCAAACCGACCTAAGCCAAGCCAGGCCAAGGCGAGCCACCATTCACATGTGATTGCCTCCTCCAAGTGTAATCCTTCTCACCTTAGACCTCCATCGCTTTCCTTTCTTTACCTGTAGGTAGCCTTCTCCTCTTTTCTTCCCATCTTCCGAGATACATATAATTACGGCTTCTACTTTGCTTCAGCTACAGCTCGATGCAACCCCGTAGAGTCACATTCACCGTACACCGACGCTACATTCTCGCCGGCTCAAGCACCTAACCCCTCCGCGGCGCATCTTTTATAGCTCCCCGGAAACAATCCATCCTATCACGGCTTTGGGGGATGTCGACGCATATCTCGTCCTAGAGCGGCATTCATCCATTCTATGTACATATCGGTACTCTACACCAACTAGTCGCCCTCCTCTTGGTTCTCTTTCTTCTTCCACTTCCTTCTTATCCTTTCATTTCCACATCTTCTTTCTCCTCATAGCCCGTGCCTCCATCTGTAACCACTAACTACACCGTCGACAACCTCCACGACTCTATACACACAGCACTCTTCGAAGCTGTTGTGGTCATGTGCTGCTAGTCTCGTTCTGTAACACCATCAATATGGCAATCCTCAATCCTGTGTACGCCTTCGTCGTGCCCTTCCTGTTTGTTGTCACGGTTCCGCTTGCTGTCTTCGCTGGTATCACAACTACTATCGCTTTCTCTGTTCTCATCCTCCGAGTTCTGGCTGTGTATCTCGACGTTGCTCTCTCTTTCGTTCCTCATTATTTGGGTGGACGTAAGACTCGCCCTTACCATCCAAATACTTATCATCCTCACCATCAAATTCTCGAACCGGCACCTGCGGCGCTCTATACCAATCCTGTACCTGCTTCTGCTGGTTCAGCAGCATTTGAGTCCTCTTTGCGACGTCGTCGACATCGAAGAAGCTCCAGTGCTCTATCCACGGCAGGCACTACCACTCCAATCAGCGAAAAGGGTCTCGGCTTGCTGCCAAGCATTGGTCCAGAGCGAGACTTCGAAGGTATCGGTGGCTGGCGTCTGGGTGGTGACGATGAAACATGGACTACCATAAACTCACGACTTGAACTTCCTGACAAGCAACACCATGGGCGAAATCATCATCGTTCCCCATCTGGTGGCCCTACGACACCTGGAGAAGGCGGGTATCTTATGATGAAGGGTCGCAACCGAAGCCCCGGAGCAAAACGCTTAGCATCTCCTAATAGCTCTCGTACAAGAACACCTTCTGGCCCACGGATCGCTTTTACAAACAAGTCATTCATTGACAGTTACTTTCCGAGTCTCAAAACTTCTCCAAAAGGACTGAAAAAACTCCCGACTCAGGGTGTCGTCGATGCGTAAGACCGCCTCGGACTCGTTGCGCTATCGTGTAAACTATTCTAATGATCTAATGAAAATTTGTGGTTAAGGTGGAAAATGGTACGAGGACCAAAAGTGTCACAGTTAAATGGTAATATGGGGGTTTCCATTGGCGTTTGAGCGAGAATTTGTCAATTATCTGGATTTATGATGATGCAAAAATAAGATATCAATGGCGTTTCGAAAGAAAACGCTAAGGGCGAGCTCCAATTTCCCATTATTCGTTTATTGAAATGATATAATGGTAGCAATGTGCTATTCCTGGTATCTGCAACGCCTCCTACGCCAACCCAGCGTAAATACATTATCGTGATAACATTGGCCAACCAAAGAAGGGATTGTCTTCTTAGAGAGTCTGCCAGAAATAGTTTGCGTAAAAGAATCGTGAGAACTTCTTATCCATGTTGACAACATGCACGTCCCCTTTGCGATCATTCCGAATAACAGCCTTGGACCACTCGCCGTCCCTCTCGTCCCTCTCAATGTCGATGCCCAGGCTTCGATACACCTTGAGCCTCAGCAGCACCTCGTCATCAACTGGGTCTCTACGTCGAGCATTAGCTACCGCATCGCCCTCCACGCCCTGAAGCTCCAGCTCGCGAAGACGAGCCTTGAGGTCAGCGGCCGTTAGAGCAAGGCGTTCAGCGTCAGTTTCAGCATCAGCAGCAGCTTTCGCGGTACGGAATTTCAATGTGTCTAGACGTGCGATGTTGGACGCGTGATCCGCTGACGAGTGGGACGCAACGAGGTCGTCATGTCGCGATGTGTGTGTTGCGAGCTGACGAGAGAGCTTCTTCAGTGAGGATTCCGCCTCACGAACGCGAAGATCGCGAGCTTGTTGGAGTGTCGAAAGGGACTCTGTAACACGAGAGACGGCAAGTTTGTCTGGTGCGATGTTGAAGTTTTCGATAGTATGATGAATGAGCTGGGTTTGTTAGCTTAGATAAAAGGGGCTACAGGAATAAGTACTTACAGTTGCGGGTTCTTCGGAGAGCAACATATTTGCGGCTTATCTCAAGTTCTAGACTCAGATGTGGAAGATTTTGTGTCAATGACAGCAGTGACACGCAGTTCGTCTACAGTCTTAAGCGGTGATGATGGTGAACTTGGTGTTTTGCCAATGCATCTCCCTTTTGGGCTTAAGACGTGCCCGTCGTCACGACGACAATCAAAGCTTATCTTATCAGCAACCACTTTTCCCCCACCTTATTTACCCGAGCTTCCCCCGTCAACCGCACATCGTCATCGGGCCCGCCACTGCCAGGCAAAGGTGAAGCCGAAAAGAGCTACCTCTGAATAACACGTGCAACCTCCATTACGTTACGTTTGCCATTCCACCTCGAAAGCCTCTTGATCCTGACCAAGATAATCGATACTGAGACTCCTATTTCTCCTATACAAAATACACCTTCACGTTCTTTGCCGTCGACGACCTGTTCTCTCAGAATGGTAACCGAACTACCATGTGAGTTTTAAACTGCATGACGATATTCTAGCTTATACTGATAGCCTCGCTAGATGCTCTCGATGCCGAGACGTTAGTCCTTTGCTCTGAACATACGACTATTTCTATATCCTGACTGACGGCGACAGACCGCTTAATGCCTCTGAGCTTAATGTACTAAAATCGCAGTATGAGCGCGAGGGTGAGATGGTTGGCATCCAGACCAAGTTCAACTACGCCTGGGTAACCATCCTGCGTCTTAAAACTACGATCTATCACACTAACTGAATATCAGGGCCTCGTCAAGTCCAACCAGCGAAACGACCAGCAGCTCGGTGTGCGCCTTCTCTCGGATATCTTCCGCATCTCCCCCGAACGTCGCCGCGAATGTCTCTACTATCTTGCCCTTGGCAACTACAAGCTCGGCAACTACGGCGAAGCGCGTCGGTACAACGACCTCCTTCTTGACAAGGAGCCTGCCAACCTTCAAGCATCCAACCTACGCCAACTGATTGATGACAAGGTTGCCCGCGAGGGGCTGATGGGTGTCGCTATTCTGAGTGGCGTTGGTGTTGCGGCTGGTGTGGTAGGAGCATTTATCCTGAGGAATGCTAGGAAGAGGTAGATGACGGTATTGCTAAGGAGGAAAACGTTTAGGGACATATATTGCATTGGCGGTTTCTGGGACACTTTACTCACGCTTCACTATAACCTCTGGATTGGGCCCTCTTGGAGTCTTGACATTATGAGATATGCTTGTACTACAAAATGAAGCGACCATTATTGCATACCTTAAGTCATTTTATATCAGTTTATCATTAATCACTCTAATTCCATCACGATAATGAGGTAGTGGACAGGACATCAGCTGTTGGAAAGTCACATTCGATGAGGTAGTACAAATTTGCCAGATGTCTTACTACGTGATGACTTTCACATGTTAACGTCACAGACAAATGTGTTGAAACAAGAAAGCTAGACAAATAAAACAATGTTAAGGAAACCAAGAACAAGCCAGCTAAGAAACAAACCAAAGAGACAACGCATCACCATCTAGGGAATATCATCTGTCGAGACATAAATGACCATCCTTGTCTCAACAAATTTACGGCTAAAATACAACAAGCTGCTGCTCGACAACGTCCTTGGCATCGCCCATCTGATCCTGTCTAATATCATCCATGACCAAGGCACCATTAAGCCCGAGGGAAAAGAAAGGGGTATCCGAAGGCAGAGTATGTGAGCAGAGCAACAAGGTAATGTAGGCAAAGCACAAGGAAACAGCATGTCACCCTAAAAAGATATGGCGAACCAGATGCATAAAACATATTAGCATCTAAAACGTCTCTCTCAGCGAGAAGCGCTCAGATTGAAACGCCTTTCGCCAGTTTCCCTGCGGTTCTTCTCTCCAAAAGGTATTCTCGTGTGACAGATTAGAGGTGAGACCAACAGGTTCTCAGGTTTGGTTTGACTCAAAGCGTGGTCAGAGAAAAACGCTTGCATGCAACTTGAAGTCATACCGAGACTCCTGCAAAGCCATATAGTCTGCATCTCCCGTCTTGCATGACTATTCTTCATAAATGACTTTTGTTCCGTCTCCGTACGACAATCATTCCATGTGGCATATGTGATGTGATGTGATTAGGAGACAATGTTTTGTTTCTTAATTAAAAAAGGTGAGAGAAAGAGGCGACAAAGAAACGAGAATCGAATACAACGAGGGGCGTCGAGCTGGTATTGTATGGGCATCATGGGTACTCAGACATGGATAACGAAGGAGTGAAAGAATCCGCAAATCGTGAAGAGGCTGGAAGTTTAGCGAAGAGAGAAACCCTTTCGCTTGCCTTCCTTCTCTAGTGGCCGTCCGCTTTCGACGCGCTGCTTCTTGTCCTCGAGCTCCAGTCGTTGGCGATCGAGTTGCTCCTTCATCTCCTTGTGGCGGGCGTACAGTTCCTCTTCGGATTGCTTGAGCTTGCTCTCCTTCTCTGCTACCTTCTGTTGGAAGACCATCTTCATCTCGGCCTCCATCTTGGCTAGCTTCTGCTCGTGCAGGGCACGCTCCTCCTCCTGCTTGACAGCAGGGTTGACCTCCTTGAAAACGCTGGGGTCTTGCGACACGCCCATGGCGAGCAGCTTGTCGGTACGGTAGTTCTCGTAGAGTTGGTTGTTGGTGTGCTCCTTGAGCTCCTCCATGTGTGTTCGGATGAGCATTTGTCGAAGCTTGACAAAATCGCAGTGCTCCTCGTTATCGACCTCAATGATACCCCAAGGGTAGGCGCGACCGCGAATCTTGCGACCATCGGCGCTTGTGATCTCGTTGTTGGCACCAACAACAGCGAAGGGAACCTTGGACATGATCTCGTTGTTCTCAGCGATCGTCTCCTCATCATCAAGCTCGTATCGAGGTCCCTCGAAGATCTGGATGCCATGATGCTTGATATCGGCGAGAATCTTGATTGGTTAGTAATTGAACAAAAGATGGTAAGCAAGCAACTTACTCGTGACTTGAAGGCAGCAATCTCCTCGTCGGTAAGGGTATCAGCCTTAGCGATGACGGGGATCAGGTTGACCTTGGTATGGAGTCGGCGCATGACCTCAATGTCAAGAGGCTTCAGGGAGTGGCCGGTGGGTTGGATAAAGAAGACACATGCGTGAATACGGTTGTCAACAATGTTCATACGGTTAACCTTGTTCTCAGCATCCAAGTAAGAGTCGAATCGCTGCTCGATGTTGTCGACGATAGGGCGCCAGGACTCGTCGTTGTTGACAAAATCGCCGAAACCTGGTGTATCGACAACGGTCAGGCGGAGACGAACACCTGCCTCCTCAATGTCGGCACTAATGGACTGGATAGTAACAGTCTTGGGAATAATGTCGAGGCTAGGTCCCTTGCGCTCCTTGGGGGGGTACAGGGAGGTGTTGAACAGAGTGTTGACCAGAGTAGACTTGCCCAAGCCAGACTCACCTAGATTAGTGTCAGTCAAGATCGTTACATTTCAATCATATTTTGCACATACCAACAACCATCACGTTGAAGTTGAATCCCTTACGAACACTCTTTCGGTGCCATTGGTTGGGTAGGTTAGCAAAACCGACATAGCCAGTAAGCTTTCTTCGGACAATGTTTCTGTTGTCCGTCGGGGGAGGTGCCTGGGATGGAACTACATGACAAGTCAGTACGGGAACATGAGTTCGTATTAAAGATAAACCTACCATTGGCGGGCGAGGCAGAAGGAGCCAACGCTGGAGATTCGCTGCCGGGAGAAGCTATATTAAGACACATGTTAGCATCCAATGCAGCCACTGATATTGAAAATTATGCTGTCAGAGCTAGAGACACAAGGAGGAGCCTGACTCGGTGAATAATCCGAACTTGTGTTGCGAGGGTTTCCCCTGGTAGAAGCCTCGACTGTGAGATAGTGACGATTGGGCTTCACATTAGCTATCTGTTCGTCTCCAGCTGGCCCAATTGTTGCTGAATAGACATATAGTTCGTCGAATGACACTGGCTTCATAGGGCTTAATGTCGGCGGATCCTGGATATCCACGTCAAGCATACTGCGATAGTGGCGTAATGTCGAGGGTCGAGGGGAGGAAGGAGAAGATAGGCTTTTATCGTCTTGGCTCAATGGAAAACTAATAGTTCGCTTGGAATCCCGCGAGGCCTTTGGCGATGATCCGGCGAGAGGTGTGGTTGCCATGAACATTAGATTTCTATCAAAATGCACACTGCGAGTGCGAGCCTTGACGTGTTGTACCAAGTCGAATGTCATGATCGAATTTCAGGGGTTGGAAGTGCTGATTCTCAACGAGGAATGCTGTCAGGACCAAAAAGGGGGCTAAGAAGATAGACCCAAGAAATTGTAGATGATTCACAAACGAATGTCGTCGAGCTTATCGGAAATCGATGGGTTGCACGGGATGAAGTTCAAGATCTTGTCGAGCTCCAGGAAAACAGATCATCCACGAGGTCGAGTTCGGAGGCTCTTTCCATGGTCTCCACCTGTCGCTTGTGCCATGTGGTCTGACACGAGCGTGCATAAAAAGAAAGAATCATCTTACCCATATTGAATTATCAAGAACGGTCGAGTTGAAAAGGCTCGTAGGAAAGTGCGTGTTTCTAAGTTGAAAGTTGATGGTTAGCTACGTCAGGGGAAAGGCCAGCTAGATAGCTACACGAGCTTGGTGGAGTTGTCTCGAGGGAGACAACGAGAAGGGCCAAACGACAGCTGACAATCTCCGGGAAACAAGCGCAATGTGACGACGAGTATTCAGTCGAAGAGATATCGAGCTGATTGAGGGCGCTCCTTCTCGAAATCGTGATCAGGCAGTAGGGAGTGGGACGAGGACAGCTACTCACGGAAATACCAGAAGACGCGTGTCAATGAGCGTCGCAACGAGTGAATACGAAGAATAGAAGGTGGCCTCGGGTTTATCAACACGGGACCTACTCTCACGCACGATAAAAGGCGATCGAGAGAAGAGTAGCAATGATGAGGCTAGAAACGGGGGGGTAGGAGAAAAAAGAGAGAAAGTAAAGTGAAGGAGAAGGATGGGAAATTTTGGAGGTGACAAGCGGACCAAACAAGGAGACGAAATTCTGATGTGCTGTGCTGTTCTCCCAGCAGAGCAGCCTTTTGGGCAGACAGCCGTGCTGCAGCAAAAGGGGTTTAGACGAGCTAGTCCAAGTTGAGGACCGTGTGGGTCTCCCAACTTACATGATCCAGGGGCAGGCTCTGGAGATTTAGCGGACAGGGTCGCTGAGAGCCTGCTGTCGAACCTCAAAGGGTGCTGCCTCAGCGCTTATGATTGGTTTAAAAGGCACGGATCCAATTAACGGCTCGGGACAGGGGTCGCTGAATGGTAAGATGGGAGATTGGGGAGGGAGAGCTCTAGCTTCACCTCCAGTAAATTACTGCATCTTGGCTATCGGCAAATACGTACCTGTATCATGTCGTAAGCCGCCCTGCGGCCTTACAATTGACTCTCAATTACAGCCTCTACTAAGTTAGAGCCTCTCTCTGAATATTGACATCATTTGAATTACCGGTGATGGCCTGCAAATATCTAGATGTGGCCGGACCTCCTTACATCGGTCCATTCCCTAGGCAAGCTTGGAGCTCACCTGAGGTACCTAGGTTGTTTCTAAAAGGGGAATGCTACTCTAAGTACCTGTTCCTAGCTCGCTTGTGCTTCAAGTGTCGATAATCATTCTCATGCTGCAAGTTGCCTTAGTATTATTGATAGGGGTTATTCTCTCCTATCTGGGGAATTGTTCGATAGCTACGGAGTACAGAGTAGAGTCGATTGCTACCTTAATCTCTCCCATGTGTCATGTGTCTTTGATCTACAGTATATTTTTTCTTCTTTTTCTTTTTCTTTTCCATTTCCTGATCATTGGCGCCTGTCTTGCGTTGCGGTATAGCTCAGAACATTCATAATTGGACTTTATCGGAGACAGATTCCAAGACATATGCAGATCAACCGTTTCTGGAAGAGGTCAGGGTATCTTCTCCCTTCTCTCTCGTGGCCAGAACACTGGCCTGATATTGGATCACGGGATGGCCATATTGTAAACTATTTATTAACTCCTCATCCTACCCGTACCGTAGTCATTTTAGCATTGCCCACTCGCCGTCAAGTCTGGTTGCGCCTCAACCGCTCCCACGTCTGTGTCCCTCGTTTATTGGTTTCCCTTCCTCCTCGTCAAAACATCAAACACCCGGTCCATTCAAGGTGTTCTCTCTGTGGGTCCGGGATCAATTACCGTCCACTGTGTTCTAGCTTCTCTTCAGTTACTATATTGGGTGTGCAAGCTAACTTTTTCCATTCACGGAAGGGCATGACAAAGAATTCTACAGGACTGGCATGTGCAGATACGCGAAACCAATAGGCTTCTGCATGCTGATATGCCGACCTATGACTGTGAGACTGCATAAAGGTTGCAAGAGCTCACTGCATCTGCCCGTAAAACAATTATAATACCCAATGTAGGTATCTTGTTGAAATCATTAAGTATCCTACACGCTACCACCTCCATGCCCTTCTCTTGCATGTACAACACGAGCGTATATACTCCTGCAGTTCAGATTTTGTATAAAGGGGTGTAAAAGGGAGGTAATTCGTATGCAACATGTAATTGCATTCCAGGCAAATGTCCCTGGTCCAAACGAGAAGTCATGTGAAGTAGTGACGACCTGTGAAACGTTTCGTGTTAAACAAAGATTTCGTCCGATTACTCTAAAGCAGTGAACAATTTAATATAGTAATATACTGCTATATTTATAATTTTTATATCTATTCCACTTGTTTTCAAACTTGGATAATTTCACCCATAACGTCCAAGCGCTCAATGGTTTATATCTGCAGTATTGCAGCTATATTTGCTGCAGATAAAAGCATAATCACTGAGAGCGTACTAATAGTATCTAGCTTATTATCTTATCATGAGCCAAGTAGTTTCTGAATAAGGCTGGCTAAGTATCTGCTAAGATGTTGCAAGGTGCAACAATATGCTACATATTGGTTTGCTTGTGATCAACAGATATACCAGTGTAGGTTAGGAGAGCCGGCTTCAAGTTCCAACTTTACTGACGAAAGTTGGTAACATCCAATGTCAGGATTCGAGGATTCTAACACGTATGATATCGCAGCATTACTAAGGACAGGCAGAAAAGACGTGGAATGTAAACTGTTTCTTTTAGAAGTAGAATATTGTATCTATAAACTCTTACACCCCACACCGTCTTCTAAATGTCAAGGAAGCACCGAAACCTTTCGATGTCTGTTTTAGTCAAGATACCCGCCACATTTTCGCTTCTAGTAAAGGTATAGTACGCTGCTGGGAAGAGCTGCCCAGATTTTGACGGCTCAAATTTATAGCATGATCAAATAATCTCAGTCATCTCAAGCGAGGCCAGCCTGCTGGCTTGCAAAGAATCGTTTCGACTCCGCACATCTCTCGCTCTTACACCCAGGACATCGAAGACCCATCTGCTTCGAGCAAGCCTGACCTGCTGCCAGGTGCTCCTTGGCAATGTCGGCGAGAGCTCGAATAAAGACAGGACTGCCGTTCAGGGACTCAACCCGCTTGACAGTTTCGGGGTGACCACTGTCGCCGATGACTTCTTGATCCAACTCATATAGAGTCTCAATATGGTCGGATGTGAAAGCGATGGGGATGAGCACCAGATCCTTCTGACCCTTGGATATGTAGTGCTCTACACTGTCCGAGGTTTGAGGTCCTAACCAGGCCGAAGGACCGACCTGAGACTGCCAGCACAGTCGGTATGGGTTGGAGAAACCGAGGCGCTGCATGACAGCGTAGACAGTGGCTGCAACTTCAGCAGGGTAAGGATCACCTTGATCATGTTAGTATCTGTTACGAGTATTATGTGACTGAGCAACAAACCTCGGTTAACGACAGACATGGGCAGGCTATGCGCAGAGAAGAGCAGCACAACATCCTTTCTTCGCTCTTCAGGGTATTCCGCAAGCTTGGCCTCGATGTTTTGGGCAAAAGCCTCGACCAATCCACTGTGGTTAGGCCAGCGATCGATTACACTCCAGGTAATGGTACCGTCACCGGACTCCTTGTTGGTCTTGCCTTCAAGCCGGTGCCTCCACTTCCATAGCTCGTTCAAGCTACTACCTGTTGTTGAGCACGAGTACTGAGGATATTGTGTGAATGCGACAGCGCGGCCACCTTTTCCATTTCCAAAGCCGTCCTTCAACAGCTGCTCGTACATTTCCTCGGTTAATGGGTCCGCGTACCGAAAAGCGACGTAGGGCTTGTGAGGCGCAGTCTCCGGGGAGATCTTATCCAAGATCTTACACATCTCGGCGTTTTGGTATTCAGACCACTTTCGAATTGGTGACCCTCCACCGATGGCAGAGTATTGCTTGATGATTTTGGGTGTTCGCCTCTTCGAAATCAATGGACCAAGATAATTTTGTAGAGGGCCGAGAGGAATTAGATCGCCGTCGGCCTGTGGTGGTTGTCAATATACATGAACCGGGGGTCTCGGTGTTTTGTTCATGACTTACAAAAAGACGGCTCAAAAAGGCGCCAACCTCATCGGTAGTCGAAGGTCCTCCCATGTTGAGGAAGACCATAGCCGTAGGGCCCTTCGATCCAGTAGCATCTTGAGTGACAGGATGGACGGGAGTGGCCAGATATCGCTTCTGAGTAGCGATTTGGGGTAGCGCAAGTCGATGCGAACTGGCCTGTGAAATGCTCTTGCAGAGCTGGCCTCCAGATCTTCGCAGAGCCATTGTCGATGAACTATCACTGACTTCAAGAGACAAGGCGCGGGAGGGGCAAGAAAGTCCAATTTATTGATCAATTGGAAGTGGTGCGAGGTTTGGAATCATAAAACAGCTGAGGGGTGTAAATAAATCTTATGTTACGTACATGCAACTAGTGCCGACGGCGATGATGCACGCATCTCCATGGGCTCCGGGATCGCCTACAACGCATCATATCGGGATTTTGCCCAGGCTTGGCTGCTAGGAGCGACTTACTTGACCAGCAGAGCTTCTGCTGTGCAAGAAGTACTACTGAACATGACATCGCCAACCAATCACGGAATTGGTAATCGCTCTGAACAGTGCACGTGAGCTCGCGACAGGCAGCGCGTCGGACCTTGTCATTAGCTCGCGTTTGCCTAAAGCTATGACCCGCTAGAATGAGATCTCTCACCAGCTCTTAAAGTCAAGCCGACCCTGAGATGAAATTGATCGGTTTTCACTAAGAGCAACAGACATCAATCGCATCAATATGGCCGATAAACAGCCTTGGCGAAAAGAAGACGAAGATGAGGAGGAGCAAGAACTCGATGAGAACGTGAGTTGATCGGACATTGGCACTCACCCCAGCTCCATATTGATCCACCCATAGAGCTACAAGGCACAGAAAGATGCCATCTTGCTTGCAATCGATGTCAGCAAATCTATGTTAGAGCCACCGCCGCCTTCGGATTCCAAAAAGGCAGATCGCGACAGCCCTGTCCAGGCGGCCTTAAAATGCGCCTATCATCTCATGGAGCAACGCATCATTTCTAACCCCAAGGACATGATGGGCATTCTTCTTTTTGGAACGAAGAAACCAAAATTCCACGATTCTGTAGATGGTCGAAATGGTTTAGGCTACCCTCATTGCTATCTATTCACTGATCTCGACGTGCCCGCTGCAGAAGATATTCAAGCCCTCAAAACCCTCGTCGAATATGGCGAGGATGAAGATGAGGTACTGACACCTTCGGATGAGCCTGTCAGCATGTCGAATGTGCTATTCTGCGCGAATCAGATCTTCACAACAAAGGCTGCGAACTTTGGCAGTCGTCGTTTGTTTATAGTAACTGACAACGACAATCCCCACGCATCTGACAAACAGGCCAAGTCCGCTGCAGCGGTACGAGCCAAGGATCTGTACGACCTTGGGATCCTGATAGATCTATTCCCTATCACTCGTGGAGACGAGAAATTCGACATCCACAAGTTTTATGATGTAAGAATCGGTCTGGAGATACCAGGGACCCAGCTAACACGCAAAGGATGTTATCTATCGTGACCCTGTTGGAGAGGCGAACATGACAGAAGTCCGAACATCGAAATATGGAGACGGATTAACCTTGCTCAACTCGCTCATCTCAAATGTCAATTCCAAACAAACTGCAAAGAGAGCCCTGTTCTCAAATTTGCCATTCGAGATTGCTCCTGGGCTACGCATCTCAGTGAAAGGATATAACATTGTTCATCGTCAGACACCAGCACGCACTTGCTACATTTGGTTGGATGGTGAAAAGCCGCAAATTGCAACAAGTGAAACTACGCGAATTGCGGAGGATAGCGCCAGGACCGTTGAAAAAGCAGAGATAAAGAAGGCGTACAAGTTTGGCGGCGAGTACGTCTACTTCTCCCCTGACGAACAGAAGTCACTGAAGGATTTCGGATCACCCATCATTCGTATCATCGGCTTCAAACCGCGCAGTTTGCTTCCCGTATGGGCAAGCACTAAAAAGTCCACATTCATCTTCCCCAGCGAAGAAGATTATGTCGGTTCAACCAGAGTTTTCACAGCACTCTGGCAGAAACTTCTCAAGGATGACAGAATGGGTGTCGCTTGGTGTATCACTCGCGCTAATGCGCAGCCAATGTTGGCCGCCATCATACCGTCTAGAGAGCGGTCTGATGAAAGCTCGGGAACGCCGTATCTGCCTGCTGGACTTTGGATCTATCCTCTACCCTTCCAAGATGACCTGAGAAATATCAACCCACCAAATGAAGTGCTGCGAAGTTCTGGAGAGCTTACGACGCAGATGCGGACTATCATCCAGCAACTCCAACTGCCAAAGGCTATGTACGATCCATCGAAATACCCCAACCCCGCGTTGCAGTGGCACTACAGAATTCTTCAGGCTCTTGCTTTGGAGGAAGAGGTACCCGAGAAGGCAGACGATACAACGGAGCCAAAATACAAAGCGATCAGTAAACGAGCAGGCGGCTACTTGGAAGAATGGTCTGAGTCTCTAGAAGAAGAGTCTGGTAAAGTTGCGAACAAGAAATCGACAAAGCGTGAGACGGACGATGAAGACATGGAGAGACCAGTGAAGAAGTCGAGAGGTTCATCAGAGAAGGCAACTGGTTCTTCATTCAGTATGGCTCAATTGAAGGCCGCAATCGAAGGTGGGACTATTCAAAAAATGACTGTCGTTCAGCTCAAAGATATACTAGCTACTAAGGGTTTGAGTACTGCCGGACGCAAGGTTGAGTTGATCGAGAGAATCGAGGAATGGATAGAGGAAAGCTCATGAGACTGAGGTCGAAGGGCAAAATAGAGCGCATTATCAGTGATTTACATGAAGGAATGGTTTGCTGGCGTAATGGGCGTTTATGATACTTTGAAGGGGCATTGCTATCAAGCTGCGAGTACTTGATCATGTTGAATCAAGACACTGAGGAGAATTACCCCGCTCATTTGTTTCTTGTGACTGATGATATGCCTTTTTTCTCCATTCAAGCTTTGTGAAGCCTTTGAAGCTTTCACAATTGCTTCCTTTTATCACATTCACCAACGATTCTTTTACAGGGTGGTAACACCACAAGTTAAACATCCCAACATGCGAATGATAAACCGCCAGAGTTCATTTCTATTCACTTTGATCTGAGTATCTCTTTGAAATATTCCAATATGAAATATGGCGACTGCAGGCGGGAGCATAGATTCACCCTCTATACTCACACCCCCTTCAGCGCCCGTTAGTGGCTCTCAGTGGCGAGGCGCTCAAGTCACGCCCACTAAACGTCAGCTAAACACTCCACGGCCCCTTACCTCATCTAACAAATCCGTAGCTCCACCATCACCCACCTGCGCGTTCGCGCAAACGCCAGGACAGCGTCGTCCGAAGATCCCATCCGCAACACTTGTCTCCTCATCGCCTCAGAAGGAGCCTGGCGCAGACGACTATAGCTCGAAGCTATTGCGTTTGGCGCGACGCCGGCCAACTTGCGGGCAACGAGGAACCATGGCCGATTTCCTCGCAAGCCTTGGTCTTGGCGGCGCGCAGACGTCCGCCGCGTCAAGTAACTCGCAATGCGATTCGGTCGAGGAGCTCCAGCTCAAACTACGAAGCATTCTAGATGCCAAGGCGACAACCACACGGGCCGAACATGTGGCTTTGACGATCGAATTGAGAGCCACGGTACGATTTCAGTTGCCTGTGTCTGAATCGGAGAACGGGACACTCGAGAGCCTAAACAACATCGATCCGTCACTGGGAGGAGCGCAATCTGTGGGCATGAATGGTAATCGGAATGAAGGACAGCTATCGCGCGTGGTATTTGCCAATGATACGCTCATGAATCAACCCCAAGACGATCCGACGCTTCAGCGATCGGTCGCAAAACACATCATTTCGATAATCAGCTCAACCGATGGGAGTACCTGGACCGTTCGAGAGGTATCGCGCGGTACACAGGGTTGGACTTTTACGTATTTGTGCAAGGACTCGTATCAGCAATGGACTCGACAGAATGCAAAGAACCAAAAGAAAACAATAGTAGGAGAGTTCAGTCAGACAGAGCCTGACCCAGTTCTGCATGGTAAGTTCAGAGCACCATCCAAAGTTGCTTCGCTGGCTGACAATGAGATAGCTCGGCCTGCCTTTGACTGTCGAGGATCGATCACGATTGGCTTTAACCGTGGCAGTCGCTCCATCACCGTGAAATACGACCATACTCCTTTGCACAAAACAGTTGCAGAGCTGGCCGCCCACTTCAAGCCTGCTCCTCGTCAACTGGGACCAGGCGCGCAGAGACTTCTAGAGCAGCAGCAGAAGGCAAAGGAGAAGACGCCGAGGAAACCTAGAGGCGAGAAGAAAGACAAGAAGGAGCGAAAGAAGCGGGACTCTACAGTAAAGGCGCAAGATGAGAACGGTAATTCCCGGAAACGAAAGAAGAAAAACAATGGAGCATCTCAACCAGCGGACTCAGTGGACGGGCCGATGATCCCTCCAGATTATCCTGGGGCACCAGCAATCGATGGGCAAAACCAAGGGGGCCTATCGTATATGAACGGCGGAGAAGCGTCCGGCAATACTGGGCAGCAAGGGTTCAACGATTATCCTCAAGGGTTGATGGGGGACGCGACGACGAATGGAACTTCGTCTCAGCAGGCAAACGGCCAGATGGCTTCAGCTGCTTTCCCAGTTAATGTCTCAGCAGCTGAAGCAGCACGTCGAAAAGAAGCAGCCACAACAATGCTTAGCAACGCTGGTGTCGATCCCACCACATTGTCTCCTGAGCAGTTTGGTATCTTCGCCAACCAAGCACCAGAGTTGCAACGCGAGTCACTGAACATGCTTGTCAAATATGGCGCAGAACGCCTCCGCATTGTCCATCCCGGCAACAAGGATGGCTCAACACAGGCAAGCTCTTCAACACAGAGTAGCCAGACAACTTCAACTGGACCTAGAACTACCAAAGAGCTAGTGCCACAGTCAAGTGCTCAGAGCAACGCGAACACAGATACCGAGACAGCAGTAGCTCAGGCTGCCGACGACACTTGCACTCCTAAGCGTAAGAGGAAGAAGATGGGCAAGTCGAGAACAGCCTGTTTCCCATGTAAGGCACGGAAAACAAAGGTAAATGCCCCTCAAACTAATCAAACGCTGCTGAACTAATAAAACCAGTGCCCGAGGGAGAGGCCAATCTGCACCGAGTGTGCGGATCATGGGACTGCATGTGAATATGCGCCACAGAAACCAAGAAACAAGGCAACAAAACCCAAGAAGTCTGAGGCAATCGTTGTTGATGATGATGACGACGATGGCGATGAGGAGGATGAAGAGGTAGAGCAGCAGGAAGATGCCGAGGGAGAGGGTTCTGAACAGGAAGATGACGAACAACAAGACAATTCACAGGATTATTCATACCCTCAGATGAATATCGGAAACATGGTCACCAACACTGATGCAACAACTCAAGATGCCCAGCCCACACAGAGCAACTACTACCAGCCTGCTTCCGGGCTAGTTCTTCCTCAGCCAGACCCTTACTCGACCAGCTCTCAAGCAATGAGCACATCGGGCCCGCAGAGAGGTCACTACTCTCATAACCTGCCAGAAGTGACACAACCCATGGTCCGCCCGGCCCCTCCTATCCCAGCTCCTGCTGGTACGATCGCGCCCTCTGAAACAAGGCGATGGACCGCCTTTGGTAGCGGTAGTGTTGGTGGAAGTAGCACTACTAGCAAGACACGAAGAAGTCTTCCGTCCGAGCCCAGCCAAGCCAATGCGCAAAACATGCCTGCGAACCCACAGCCATCAGACTGGGCACAAACTTCCAACACGACTATGCCTGTAACAACAATGGCGTCCGTCTCTCCGCAGATGACATACGACACACGCTCAAGTGGGAGGACTCGACAGAAGAACCAGAGCCTAACAAATGATACTCCCCAACAAGCTGCAGCAGTTCCTAACACGGTCATGCAGCAGGCTCAGGCTAGTCAATCGCCCGTCGCTGCGGCAGCCATGATGGCACAGACTCGCAAATCCCCTTACCAACAAGCTGCGGTTCCTCGTACGACTTCTAGAACAAGCCAGCGAAACCAGTCTCGCACACCTGCAACTGACCAGGCACGAGGCTACCAGCCTCCTTCCGACATAGCTCAGCAGCAGAACACACGAGGCAGCACTCATTATGATACATCACACATGTCCAGTGGTTCTGGCTATAATGACTATGGGCGTTACAGCAGTACCAGCACCAGCGGAAGCCATCAACCACCGACGACCATGAGCACATCTTACCAGAGTACTCCTTCCACTGCAAACCAGTGGTCTAGTTCTTCGAGTCGAAACGATCGCTCATATGGCACCAACCCATCATATCAAACACCCAATATTTACGCACAGACAACAGCGTCTAAGCCAACGGCGGCATCCCGCCAGAACTTTAACATGCGTTCAAACACGCAACAACATACTCGTGCTAGCAGTGGTTCATACAACCAGCAGCAGCAGCAGCAGGGTTACGCATCGTACTCTGGATCTGCACACCAAAGCCAACAGGCTCAAACATCAAACCAGCAACAGCCGCCTAGTTGGTACTTCCAAAACTCCCACAACCCTTCTGTTCATCCTGCGGGCCAGTCATCCGGCTATAACTATGAGCCATGGTCAGGCGTTTAGGAGCCAGGGTGCTCGATTGTACACAACTAACTATTATTCTATGGCTTATGAGCGGAGGAGAAATTGCTGTGGAAGGGTTTAGCGAATCGATTTATTTTGCGCAATGATGGCATAAACAGGAATTGAGTTAGGGCCCTCATATCTGGAGATACCCGGGAATGGCAGACAATTGAGAATCGTAGGTTGTCACATTTCTTCTTCTTTTCACCTGATAGATGTGATAGTATCTTTGAAGCATCACATAGCTTGAATCATTATTAGGTGCTGCTCAGCTGATCATTAACCTTGACTCATGTATTCCTCTCAAGTCCCGCCAAATTCCATGGTATTTCCATCACATTAATTTCCAGTCATTCGTCCAGTCATATAAAATATTCCCGTAGGGTATCCAGATAGGGTGTTGGTCTTTGGATGTATGTTGCTTATCTACTCAACATGGTCTGAAATAGCAAACTTGCTGAGCGATCGCAGCTTGCCACCGTAAAAGTATAGCAGCCAAATACCAACGATGCCGATGACACTTAGACCGCCGAGAAGGCTGGTACCCTTAGCAACACCGAGATTGTCGAACAAGGGCTGGGCAAAAAGAACACTGCCACAAGCTAGAGCACTTCGGAAGAAGTCATTCGCGGCAAAGAGACTGGCAGCATACATTGGGTAGCTGAGAGGAATGTACACAAAGATACATTGCATGACAATGAAGACTGTAGCTCCGTAGATGGTGATGCCGATGGTGGGCACGATCCAGTGGATAGAGGCCCGAGCTGTCCAGGCAAAGAGGAACAAGCCAATGGTAGGACCAAGGGCGGCTGGTAGAGCTGGAACAAGACGACTTTCTTGAATGGGCCAACCACGCTTTGCGATGCGAGGGTCCATGTAAAAGTACAGGTAGGAGACGTAGATGCCTACGCCAATCATACAAGAGACGAGAACACAGAGGAAGACGAGACCGATTTGGCCAAGGTTCATGTTGTAGTAGACTGGGTAGACACGGGGGAAAACCTCGAAGACTAGGAAGAGTTAGTCATCGCGATGCCAATGATGTGTTGGGGCGAACTTACATGAATAGTAGATACCATAGATAATGGCAGTGTAGACCTGCACGAACAGCACGGCAGGGT